GCACTATTTATATTAGCTAGAATTGTCGGATTTCCTGCTTTCTAGCTAATCTAAATCATGTGGCCCAGAGGATTCCCCCCCCCCAGCTGTTCTATTTACCTTTGCAGACGCACTCGGTAGCAGGCTCCGCCCACCTGCCCAGACGTTTTCATGTCCATTTCTGATGCTCTGCGCATATACAGAAGGTCCTGCGTATGTACAGAGGTGGCCCGTACACGCTCAGATTTGCGAACCGGTAGCGAAGGTAAATAGATTTCACCCCTGCTGGTGAGACTAGGCCTAGGCTGCCATAGCTAAAGATGATGCCGGATGGATAGTCAGGAATCTTGTCTAAAAGATCCCTTCAGGAGATACCATATTTTTGGAGTATAAGATGCACCGGAGTATAAGGCGCACCATGATTTTGAAGAGGTAAGTTTTTCAAAAAAAAGGGTTTGCACTCTGCAGGCCTCCCAAACCCTCTGCACGCCTCGTTTTTGGCAAAAAAATTGGGGGGGGGGCATGCAGAGCTTTGGGAGGCTTACAGAGTGCTCCTGGGGGCTAGGAGGGGGCAAAAACGAGCAAAAACGGTGCGGGTTTTGCTCGATTTTGCCCCCCACCAGCCCCAGGAGCATTCTGAAAGCTTCTTAAAGACTATGCACGGCCATTTTTGCAAAGGGGGCAGGGTTTCAGTAGCCCAAAAATGCTGTATCCAGTGTATAAGACACACCTAGATTTTCACTCTTTTTTGGGGGGGAAGGTGCGTATTATACTCTGAAAAATACATTAGGTAAGAAAGAACTGAGTGATTAAGAAAACAGAAGAAAAACATCACTTAAAGCAGACAAAAGAAGTTGGGCCTGAGTACATGGGAAATCCTGCAAATCAACAAGGCAAAAGCAGCTGTCAGTCTTATAAATCAACAAAGTAAGGACATTGTGGGACAAAAGATTCCGAAGCCCTGATTATAAATCAAGGGCTACCTTTCCATCCTAGTGTTTCCCAGGATTTGCCTAAGGAAAAAAAATCACTTTCTAATTCTGCAAATGACCAGAATCGCAACTTCTCCTGGGATCTGGAAAGTTATTTGTAACCTCTACAACTCACCTGCTTTCAGATTACTTTTCATAAATTGCGTCTGCGTTCCCTCGCCACAATCAAACAGCCAGCATTCTCCTTCAAAACGGATTACCGTAGCCGAGGCCCCCCTCGTTGGAGATGGATACGCAGCCCCCGTGCCCAGAAAGGTTACATCCATGGACATTTTTCTCAAAGGCACAAGGAGAACTAAAAGAAAAGAAAAATACCTGGAATAAAACTACTAGATGTCAAAACTTTTAAATAAAAATACTAGATATTAAAAGGAAAGAAAGCAAGATTTAATTGTACTTCCAAAATGGCAATCCCAGTCCAAAAGTTTAATTTTATATATAAATTTAAGAATTAACAGTTTTCCACTTTATTCTTATATCCTCTTTTTTTTTTTAAGCCTGTGTTTTCTCACTGCAGCCTCCACCAGATTCCTGGGGGTTCATCTCTGATTTGCGGCTAAAGATTATGAATTATGGAAATTAAACCCTAAACTGGAAAACATAGGATTGGAAAAATCTGTCCTTTAGATAGTAAGTGTGGATCACATTTTTATTTTATTATTCTACTCGATTTTGTGTAAGTCATTCCAGGAACATTTTCAGCTAGGAATAAAATAAGGTAAAGGTTCCCCTTGCATATATGTACTAGTCATTCCCGACTCTAGGTGCTCATTTCCGTTTGAAAGCCGAAGAGCCGGCACTGTCCAAAGACGTCTCTGTAGTCATGTGGCTGGCATGACTAAATACCAAAAGGCGCACGAAACGCTGTTACCTTCCCACCAAAGTGGTTCCTATTTTTCTACTTGCACTTTACCTGCTTTCGAACTGCTAGGTTGGCAGAAGCTGGGGCAAGTAATGGGAGCTCACTCCGCTATGCGGCGCTAGAGATTCAAACCGCTGAACTGCCGACTTTTCTGATCAACAAGCTCAGCGTCTTAGCCAGTGAGCCACCACGTCCCTTGT